ATAAATTCCATTTCGTTCAGGGGGGGGGGGGGGGGGCGGGGTAACAGACTGTATTCAAAACCCGCATGTTCGTATCTCGGGTAAGGGACTGATCGGTAAGGGACTGATCTCATGACTTTTAAAGTTGGCAGTCTTACGCTTCCCTTACCGACCGCTGACCACGCTACCTCATCTCCCCCCCCCCTCCCATTTTCGATTGAATATTATACGATGTCAAGTAAAATTAAGCAGGTAGGCCTAATAATGCCATAAACTACATTATATGTACTCAGAAAATCTTTCCTGCTGTAGTTTCAAAAGATATTAAAATAAACAGCTAGCCTGCTGGTTTAAAAATGGCTACAAGCTCCATGCTTTTAATGACAATATAGGCTCTATACAATTAGTGTTTCAAATAAACAAACGCATCCACTCCATATTTAAAATAAATAAATTTAAAATTCTTTAACATTGAATTATATTATAGTTTATGTTAGTTACTTCCCATTAACACATTATATGGCAACAACGGGAGACAACCTACAACTGTGTTCGCTAAAATTGTTAAAAATATAGGGAAATTCAAAATTAATAAAAATAATTAAATGTTTATCATTAGAATAAGCGCAAATATTAGCTCTGTTGGTACATAGTATATAGGGTTATATTTTTTAGATTTTTGAATTTAAATTTGACTGTAGTTTAAGATGAAAACCGTTAGCTCTCTTAAATTTTGTTTATGTCGAGGCATGAAACTGTCTCTATTCGTATTGCTGCAGTGGTATATGACGACTCTCTAATATTGGTTTATTAAGAAAAAGATAAGCATGTCCCTCGCGCAGAGATGACACGCAGAATCGTGAAGCGTTACCAAATTTTTTTCTAAAGATAAGGACCTAAAAAATGTTGCTGATGAAACTATAAATGTTTAAGAAAAATAAAATTGTATCTAGTCCAAACAGCTGCTATTTTTTAGTGGTGATTCTTTTTTAAGGAAGTTTGAAAAATATAAATGCTGTACAAAATAGTTCTTTAATTTATAATCTGCTTCTTTCTCCTGATCTGCATTTCTCTTACAAGTCTGTCATAATGTTGAATGTTTTTTTATATGATTAGAAATAGTATTCTTACATTGTCTTGACATGTTTTTTTTTCTTTTTTTTTTTTTTGTTAATCTATCTAAAATATTTCTTTGTAATGCTAATTCAAGATTTTAACTACTGACATGCTAGGTTATTCTTCAGTCAAAAAGTTCTATTTTAAGCATCCAGCCTTATGAATTATTCTGCTGCTTAGAAGTACCACAATTCCTGCAAAAAAATGTATATTGTAATTTTTTTTAAAGTTAATTGTATAAACTGAAAGAAATTTTATAAGAAAACCTGTAATAGAAAAATCTCAATTTAAAAATTACTCTATTTGATGATGTCGATATTATGTTTTAGAAATATCAGTCTTTTCATACTTGAAATGTAAAATTTAAAAGCATTAAAAAAAATTTAGGATGGTATCTTATTATCAAAATGGAAGATATTAATTAATAATACTTAGATCATGAAAATTGTGGTTTATAAACTGTATGACATCTTGTTTTACTTTGGAAAATAAAAACAGAACTCCCTTAAAAAAAAAAAAAAATATTAAGAAAAAGATAAAAAAAAATAGAAAAAAAAAATTAAGAAAAAGATGAAAAGATTGGGTAACATCTTTTGAAGATTATTTGTCGAAAGAAAATTTTTAAAAATTACGTCAATTTATGTATTATGAGATACTATGCGACCAATCTGTCGCTTGACTTAAATCGTCCATAGATATCTCGAAGGATATTTTTATTTAACCTTTCTGAGTCCACTTTGCATAGACGTAAACAGTTCATGGAAGAAAGTATTTTTCAGAGAAGTTATTGTAAATCCTCGTCAGTCTCACAAGCCGATGATGAAAAAAAGTAATGCAAAAAACGAACAAGGTGACAAGGCAAACACACTGATGAAAAAAATTACTGGTCTATGGCAAAAAGAAAAAAAAAGGTGGAGGAAAACAAAGGGTTACAAAGTGCCTGATTTCTGTCATAGTCTAGTTGATTTAAAGTACTGGGCTGAGTCATCGAACCACGCTGTCACAAACCTTTTATCAAAGTAAAAAATGTTAAGGTCGCTTCTCCGAACCTGATGAAGTAGAGTTGACCTGTTTCTGTTACCTCGGAATGTAGTGTAATCAGAACGATGTCCAGCCGCCTATACTTTCCGTAACGTGAGTTAGGTACCCACCAGAGCTGGGAGGGCTCAGGGACATTCAACTGACTTGAACCGCGATTTAAACTCGTGATTTTCGAGTTAGCAGTCCAGCGCTCTACCGCTAGGCCACGCCGTCCCATACATACATTTATACTTATACAATTACACATACAAGTACTAACCGAACCATGAAAACGTTGACGTCACAGCACACAGCGAACACTAACAAACTTGACAGGTTTGGAAATACAAACAACATTCACGACCACCACCACCCCCCCCCCCCCCCCCCTTTCGTCCCCTTCACTAAAAGTATTAATTTAATAAACAATGATGAGCGTTAATATTTTATTTTACTGACCAAAATAAAGTCTGTGAAACTACCAAACAATTCACCGTTCCCATTTCACCCCATCCTTTGTATCATCATATTATCACAACACTCAAAAGGATTACGACCTTGGACCAGACTGTATTTCGTGATTTCGTGACACGGATATACCGGCTCAAGAGTATGCCTCCCATTAGCTAGGCAGGCCTCGACGTTGCGAACTCCGGCTAACTGGCTTTGGAGATGCCGGTTTGATACGCTACATGTTGATCGCTCTTCATCCGTGGGTAACAGACTGTATTCAAAACCCGCATGTTCGTATCTCGGGACGTTCGTATCTCGGGGCGTTCGTATCTCGGGAGGTTCGTATCTCGGGACGTTCGTATCTCGGGACGGTTGTATCTCGGGACGTTCGTATCTTGGGACGTTCGTATCTCGGGACGTTCGTATCTCGGGGCGTTCATATCTCGGAGCGTTCGTATCTCAGAACGTTCGTATCTCGGGACCTTCGTATCTCGGGACGTTCGTAACTCGGGACGTTCGTATCTCGGAGCGTTCGTATCTCGGAACATTCGTATCTCGGGACCTTCGTATCTCGGGGCGTTCGTTACTGGGGACGTTCGTATCTCGAGACGTTCGTATCTCGGGGCGTTCATATCTCGGGACGTTCGTATCTCGGAACGTTCGTATCTCGGGACGTTCGTATCTCGGGGCGTTCGTATCTAGGGACGTTCGTATCTCGGAGCGTTCGTAACCCGGGGCACAATGAACCATGCTAATGCAAACTTAACACCGTGGTCAGCTTGCTACTAGACAAGTGGCTGGGTGTTTAATCCTTGATTAGCCGTACCGCATTACTGGAACAGCTGGCATTGCATGGTAATGTAAGCCAAGGCCAAGAAAGTGAACTGGGAAGTGAGTGAAGTGTAGGGTTAGGTAATTATATAGGGTTTATGTTAAGGGACCAACGTCTAATGACTCGCATTCTTCTTCTTCGTTCTTAATTGTAATATTGTAAGGGGATTGACTGCAAAACGATTAGGTTTTATGTAAACATGCTATGCGCGATATGGCCTGTTTGACTCCAGCCTGCTTTATTTTACTTTCTGGGTTTGCTTCCGTAGCCTTTGACACCACGTAAGAACAACCTGCAAGGCAGTCGTTGCTTGATTTTAGGAGTTGTCTCTCCTAGATGGGTTGGCTGTCTCAAGCTATCGAGCCTCAACTGTCAGGGGGCGGGGGAAGGACAGTGAGGGGACTGATCTCATGACTTTTGAGGTTGGCAATCTTACGCCCCCCCCCCCCCTCCCCTCCTCCCATTTTTGATTGAATATTATACGATGTTAAATTAAGCAGGTAATCCTACTGATGCCATAAACTACATTATATGTATGCAGAAAGTCTTTCCTGCTGTATTTTCTAAAGATATTTAAATAAACAGCTAGGCTACTGGTTTAAAAATGGCTACAAGTTCCATGCTTTTTAATGACAATACAGGTTATATGCAATTAGTGTTTCAAATAAACAAACGCATCCAATCCATATTTAAAATAAATAAATTTAAAATTCTTTAACATTGAATTATATTATAGTTTATGTTAGTTACTTCCCATTAACACATCATGTGGAAACAACGGAAGACAACCTATAACTGTGTTCGCTAAAATTGTTAAAAATATAGGGAAATTCAAAATTAATTAAATAATTAAATGTTTATCATTTTAATAAGCGAAAATATTAGCTCTGTTGGTATATAGTATATAGTATTATACTTTATAGATTTTAGAATTAAAATTTGACTGTATTTTAAGATGAAAGCCGTTAGCTACCTTAATTTTTGTTTATGTTTTAGCATGAAACTGTCGCTTGAAGTAGTTCTATTATCACATGAATTACTAGAGGAACTTTTTAATTTTTGTTTATAAAAAAAAGATGAAAAGATTGGGAAAATGTTTTAAAAAACCATTTTTCGAAAGAAATTTTATTAAAATTACGACAATTCACAAATTATGAGATACTATGCGACCAATCTGTCGCTTGACTTAAATCGTCCATAGATATCTTGAAGGATAAATTATATTTTACCTTCCTGAGTCCATTTTGCATTAAGTAGGCGTAAAAAATTCATGGAAGAAAGTATTTTTCAGAGAAGTTATTGTAAATCCTCGTCAGTCTCACAAGCCGATGATGAAAAAAATAATACAAAAAACGAACACGGTCTCAAGGCAAACACACCGATGAAAAATTTACTGGTCTATGAAAAAAAAAGAATAAAAAAAAGGTGGAAAACAAAGGGTTACAAAGTGCCTGATTTCTGGGTACGCTCCCATAGCGTTTGTCTCCCCAAGAACGTTCAACAAGATAGTTGTTAAATATTGGAGTTTTCTCCCCTAGATGGGTTGCTGTCCCTAGCTAACAAGTTTTCTCCCCTAGATGGGTTGCTGTCACTAGCTAACGAGTTTTCTCCCCTAGATGGGTTGCTGTCGCTAGCTAACGAGTTTTCTCCCCTAGATGTGTTGCTGTCACTAGCTAACGAGTTTTCTCCCCTAGATGGGTTGCTGTCACTAGCTAACGAGTTTTCTCCCCTAGATGGGTTGCTGTCACTAGCTAACGAGTTTTCTCCCCTAGATGTGTTGCTGTCACTAGCTAACGAGTTTTCTCCCCTAGTTGGGTTGCTGTCAGTCACTTTAGAGTTTTCTCCCCTAGATGGGTTGCTGTCACTAGCTAACGGGTTTTCTCCCCTAGATGGCTTGCTGTCAGTCACTTTAGAGTTTTCTCCCCTAGATGTGTTGCTGTCACTAGCTAACGAGTTTTCTCCCCTAGATGTGTTGCTGTCACTAGCTAACGAGTTTTCTCCCCTAGATGTGTTGCTGTCACTAGCTAACGAGTTTTCTCCCCTAGATGGGTTGCTGTCACTAGCTAACGAGTTTTCTCCCCTAGATGTGTTGCTGTCACTAGCTAACGAGTTTTCTCCCCTAGATGGGTTGCTGTCACTAGCTAACGAGTTTTCTCCCCTAGATGGGTTGCTGTCACTAGCTAACGAGTTTTCTCCCTTAGATGTGTTGCTGTCACTAGCTAACGAGTTTTCTCCCCTAGATGGGTTGCTGTCACTAGCTAACAAGTTTTCTCCCCTAGATGTGTTGCTGTCACTAGCTAACGAGTTTTCTCCCCTAGATGGGTTGCTGTCACTAGCTAACGAGTTTTCTCCCCTAGATGGGTTGCTGTCACTAGCTAACGAGTTTTCTCCCCTAGATGGGTTGCTGTCACTAGCTAACGAGTTTTCTAACGAGTTTTCTCCCCTAGATGTGTTGCTGTCACTAGCTAAGGAGTTTTCTCCCCTAGATGGGTTACTGTCGCTAGCTAACGAGTTTTCTCCCCTAGATGTGTTGCTGTCACTAGCTAACGAGTTTTCTCCCCTAGATGGGTTGCTGTCACTAGCTAACGAATTTTCTCCCCTAGATGTGTTGCTGTCACTAGCTAACGAGTTTTCTCCCCTAGATGTGTTGCTGTCACTAGCTAACGAGTTTTCTCCCCTAGATGGGTTGCTGTCACTAGCTAACGAGTTTTCTCCCCTAGTTGGTTGCTGTCACTAGCTAACGAGTTTTCTCCCCTAGATGGGTTGCTGTCACTAGCTAACGAGTTTTCTCCCCTAGATGGGTTACTGTCGCTAGCTAACGAGTTTTCTCCCCTAGATGGGTTGCTGTCACTAGCTAACGAGTTTTCTCCCCTAGATGGGTTGCTGTCACTAGCTAACGAGTTTTCTCCCCTAGATGGGTTGCTGTCACTAGCTAACGAGTTTTCTCCCCTAGATGTGTTGCTGTCACTAGCTAACGAGTTTTCTCCCCTAGATGGGTTGCTGTCACTAGCTAACGAGTTTTCTCCCCTAGATGTGTTGCTGTCACTAGCTAACGAGTTTTCTCCCCTAGATGGGTTGCTGTCACTAGCTAACGAGTTTTCTCCCCTAGATGGGTTGCTGTCACTAGCTAACGAGTTTTCTCCCCTAGATGGGTTGCTGTCACTAGCTAACGAGTTTTCTCCCCTAGTAGGGTTGCTGTCACTAGCTAACGAGTTTTCTCCCCTAGATGTGTTGCTGTCACTAGCTAACGAGTTTTCTCCCCTAGATGGGTTGCTGTCACTAGCTAACGAGTTTTCTCCCCTAGATGTGTTGCTGTCACTAGCTAACGAGTTTTCTCCCCTAGATGGGTTGCTGTCACTAGCTAACGAGTTTTCTCCCCTAGATGGGTTGCTGTCACTAGCTAACGAGTTTTCTCCCTTAGTTGGGTTGCTGTCACTAGCTAACGAGTTTTCTCCCTTAGTTGGGTTGCTGTCAGTCACTTTAGAGTTTTCTCCCCTAGATGGGTTGCTGTCAGTCACTTTAGAGTTTTCTCCCCTAGATGTGTTGCTGTCACTAGCTAACGAGTTTTCTCCCCTAGATGGGTTGCTGTCAGTCACTTTAGAGTTTTCTCCCCTAGTTGGGTTGCTGTCACTAGCTAACGAGTTTTCTCCCCTAGATGGGTTGCTGTCACTAACTAACGAGTTTTCTCCCCTAATTGGGTTGCTGTCAGTCACTTTAGAGTTTTCTCCCCTAGTTGGGTTGCTGTCACTAGCTAACGAGTTTTCTCCCCTAGTTGGGTTGCTGTCACTAGCTAACGAAATTAATCAGTAGAACGTCACTGAGTCCACCCAGCTATGATGGGTAGCCAACTCACGTTAGTGAAAGCTAAGACGGTTGGGCACAGTTCTGACCACATTACCCCTTTATATGTCGAGGTCACAGAAACAGGTCAACTCTACTTCACTTGACCGTCAGGTTCGAAAAGGGAACTTTACCGGAGTGTGTCCGTAAATGACACTAACAATGCCCCTAGTCAACCTTGACAATGCCCTCACATAAACCTGCCCGGTGCCCACCAATCTGCCCGAACGCCAGCGCCCTCTGCATCCAGCAAGAACAATGTATTTATACGGCTGGAGCGAACTCTAGACGACACGAAGGGGAGAGAATCGATCGTCAAGTAGGTCACGCGTCTATTAATAGATCTCTACGCTGCCCATTCATATCTGGCCATTTCTCGCTGCAAGCTTTTCGCAGCACTCTTAGCTGGCAAGTCTCCCAAATGGGGAGGGTGGGGGATGAAGGAAAAGGGGGTGGGGGTGGGGGTCTGCGGGATATCATGCAATCTGCGCTTTGGAAATCAAAAGAAAATAAAACGCTCTTTATTTATTGGGGGAATGTCGTGTGTGTGTTGTTGTTTTTTTTTTTTAAACTCCGTTTCTATATTTGATTGATAACAAGTTCGTTTGGACACCTTAGGACCAGCTATTTAAAAATAAAAAATAAGCAGAAAGAAAACTTTTTTTTTAATCAAAGTGAACTTTACAATTTTAACAATCTATTTTCGTCCCATGTCATGTGACCGCCGTATGCAAGAAAAAAAAACAAACGAGAAAAAAAATATTCTTTCTAATTTTAGTAACAAGAGAGGCCACTTTGCTTATTTCGTCGAAATGTGGAGGAAATACACAACGCGCGTATTTTTTTCTCTCACGTGCTTTTCAGGATATAAGCACCTTGCTTATTTCCTCTGATGTAGCAAGAAAATCTCCGAAGTAAAAACAAACACGCTTACACGTAATCTTTTGTGATAAAAATCATTAATATTATATTCTTAGACTAGTTCTATCCCTAATTTAGACGTAATGTAAAATATATATATATTTGTATTTAATTTGCCCTATAAAGAAAAAAAAAACCACATACAAATTAAATATTTAGTCAAATCAGTCATATGGTCCCTTGACTCTGATTTCAACGGACTTCTCATTCTGAATGTGCTTCCGCCGAAGAACAAACTACAAGGCAGCAGTTTTTTTTTTAATTTTTTTTTTTTTTCTCTCCTAGATATGTTGCTGTCCGCATCTAGCGAGCCTCATCTCCCCAATATCCGTGGTCAGGACTTCGAGAGTAAACTGTTCCCCTGCGTTTGTACATTTTTCAGGAGTGACCAGTCTATCATCGGTCCCATTCACAGCGCCTCCCCACCCCTACACACACCCTTTTTTTTCATTCTTGACAAAGGTAATTTCTTTTAGCCAGATTCCCCCTTTATTTTCACACCCCCCCCCCCCCCTCAACCATTCCCCTGAAATAGAATTCCAATTCACCGCTCCAAACTAACCCATGATTCTTTATTGTTTTTTTTTTAAGGGTAGTTTAATAAATGGCAATTTGAATGTTTTTCGTAGGTGATTGTCTGATTGGTTGTTTTTATCGTTATCTGATTGGTTGTTTTTATCGTTATCTGATTAATTGATTTTATCATAGAGTGGTTGACCGAATGGTTGCTTTTTTTATCGTTGAGTGGTTGGCTGAATGGTTGCTTTTTTTTATCGTTGAGTGGTTGGCTGAATGGTTGCTTTTTTTTAATCGTTGAGTGGTTGGCTGAATTGTTTGTTTTTTTTAACGCTATTCGTACGGTTATTTTAACGTTAACTAGATGGCTGCCTGGTTGTTTTTGTTTTTTTGTTGCTGTTGTCTTGAGTGGTTATCGGGATGTCGATGTGGTTGTCATCACCCCCCCCCTCCTCACCCCCCCCCCCCCCCCTGCAGACGCCTGCATGTTTACCCATCTCGCCTTGCTGGCCAACACGGCCACCTAGTCCGGCCGTTGTATTGACCAACAACAAACGATGGCCGGGATATCGATCCCATCCCCCCCTTCCTCCCTCCCCCCCTTGCCCCCGGGACACAGTGTGTGTTGTTTTGTTGTGTGTGCGCCTGTCCTTACCCAGATAAGATTATGATGTCTGTCTTAAGTCATGTACTGTCTAATGAGAAGTCTGTCTCAAGTCATGTACTGTCTGATGTATGGTCTGTCTTAGGTCATGTACTGTTTGATTTGTAGTCTGTCCTATTTTTTTTTACATGACGAAAGGTAACCTTTCGATCCTTACTGAACTATGGGACAGGTGAAGTAGAGTTCATCTGCTTTAGTGACCTCGGCATATGGAGGAATAGTGTGGTCAGCACTATGCCCAGCCGCCTTTAATTTCTCTAACGTGTATGTGAGCGTCATGCAGCGTCTTCTGTGTTTTCTGCCTTACGTCATGTACTGTCTTCTATTTTCGCTGTCTTACGTTATGTACTGTCTTCTGTGTTGTCTGTCTTTAGGCTTGTCTATAGCCGACTTGTCCAAAGCATACGACAGTCGCGCGACATCAAACATTCGACACAACACGATTAGTGGTACCCGGCTTGTCTGTTGGAGCCCACTCAGCTCTAACGGGTACCTAGCTTGGCTTAGAAAAAAGTCACCGAGACCGAGTTTTAGTACTGACTACCGAGCCAATTTTAGGATCCGATGGTACAGAGACTGTCGGCCATTTGTTGGGAACCGTTTCGACCGGAGCCATTTTGTTAGCGATCTATTCTTAAGTAGCCCTTTTACCTGCAGCCATTGTGTCTGAACCCCTTTTATCTACATCCTATTGTCGGGGTTATTTTAATAAAATTTCTTTCTGTGGGCTTCATACTGTCGGAAGTTTGTTTCGAGACCTTTTTGTCCATGGCCATTTTGTCGGTGTACGTGCCGCATTGTAGCTATCATCATGTGCAGCCACATCTGAACAAACACACCGAATGTGTGCGTGTATGTATGATGTCCATATATTGATGTTATCTCTCCATTGTGTTTGCGGTAAGTTTGCCTAGCGGCGTAGCCACACACACACTCACACACACACACACACACACACACACACATTTCGAAGCATTGGGGGGGGGTACTTCCATTTTTTTTTCATTATTATTTTTTCCACGTCAAGACTGTCGAATTTTCTTTCACGATAATTTTTTTTATCATGACACCGTATTCCCACCGAGATTCGAACCACAGCCCGACTTTAGTTGTAACACAAACAATGCTGAAACAAATTCCCCCACTATTTTGTCTTGTTAAACATACACCGGCAGGACGTATTCGAGTCTCTTAATTTGCCAGTATCGCTACCCGAAACTTAGCCGCAATGTTTCTTCTTAGCTGCGCGTTTGCGCGGCCGCGTGGTAGTTTAAACCTGCCGCGCATTAATTTAGTAAAATACATAAATCCTTGTATAAGACTTTAAGAACATCGCACACACAAAATACACGATGCACACTCGTTTTTTTTCTCCTTAGAGGAAACGGCGTCTACCTTCACCCTTAGCCTCGACCTTTACCAACTTCCTGAGTTTAACCCTGACTTTAATCACGACCCGTTTTACCCTAAGCCTCACCACCACGACAGCGATACCCAGAGTTTCTTCCAGGCATCTCTACGGGGAGGGGGGGGGGGAGCTAAGAAAGTCTACCCCTCCGAAGAAAGTCTATCCCCCCCCGATCGAAATGGAATTTATATAGAAAACATACTTTTACCAGTGTCCACCCTCCCCCCCCCCCCCTCCGTACCACCCCCCCACCCCCCCCACCCCATCCCCCCCCCTCGAACATATTAAGTGCACCCCCGGAGAAAAAAAGTCTGGAAGAAACACTGGCGATACCATCAAAGAAATAAACAACACGTTACAGTATTATCTTGCCCTGTGTCTATAACAAGAACCCAACGTCTATAAGATGCTGAGGAAAATATTGTATGTGTGTTGCCGTGCTATCTCCTTACATACCCAAACAGTTAAGAGAGGGTTTTTTTTTTTTAGACTCGGCTACTTTGGTCTAGTTTTAACTGTGTGGCGTGGCGTATATCTAGCCATTGATCGTCTAGCCGACTTGTGGTAACGTAACAATTCCGTTTGACGGGCCCCTCCGTGGGTGCACTTACAGACGCTGATCATCCACGGCGACGCAACAATTCCGTTACGCCGCTACGCGATACACCGGACAGGCGTATTGTATTGTTGTCCATTGTTTGTTTTTTTTACTTGTGTGTGGCTATTTATAGACGTCTAACATCGCATCTTTTCACCGCGAAGTTTTCTTCAGGTAATCGAGTGCCTCCTCTCGACGCGAGCTTTACAAAACGAGGTTTCTACTTCCACGAAGATTCGTTTTCTAACATTGTTTTTATTTTTTTTTTCTTCTTCTTCAGAATGGGACAAGTTTTTATAAAAAATATATTTCGCATTTGAAGTGGATATTGGAGTGCTTTCCTGTGGTAACTGTTTCGTTTGGTAAGTGGACAATTTTTTTTAATTTGTGTTTTTTAAATACTTTCTTAAATACCGGCTGTAGTTTGCTTGCACAGATCTAGAGAGGGATGACCTTTCGCACCGTTCACAGTTGTTGTTTTTATTTTAAATATTTTTTTTACGAGTGTAAGGGGGTTGGGTGGGGGAGGAAGGGGTATGGCTAACTGACCAGCGAAACTGACCAGAGGGGGTAATCGGAAAAGGGAGGTAACTAGCTGGTTATGGGTGGTAACCTACTTTATTTAGGTTTTAGTGATCAGGAAAAATAAAATCAGTGTCCATATGGCTCAATAGTAGTATTAAAGGAAAGTTCTTCTGTCTATGAAACTTTCTTCTTACTAAAAGATCTTCTGTCTATGAATTTTTCTTTTTACCAAAAGATATTCTGTCTTTGAAACTTTCTTTTTACAAAAAGATCTTCTTTCTATGATAAAAACTTCTTACTAAAGATCTTTTTGCCTGTGAAAATTTCTTCTTACAGAAAGATCTTCTTTCTATTGATAAAGTCTTCTAACAAAAGATCTTATCCCTTAAAAAAAAATCCTCCCACCAAAACTCTACTTCATCTTCCCTAAATACCAGCCATATCCTACAGCCTGCCGTATTTGTATTAAAAGCTTATGCATCTATCCACAACCAACTTTTCCCTTTAAAATGACGTAATGTCACGTGTCTCATGATCACAACAATAAATAGACCATTTTAAAACATTGTTTGTATGTATGTAGATCTAAAGATACGTTTCTTATCAGATTATGGAACAAATGAATATTTCTGTTTGTCGACCGGATTTAGATTTACAAGAGGGTGTCAACACGCAACTCATTATTTCCTTTCCATATCTGTTTCAATGTTGGTGGAGGGGGGGGGGGCGTCTTTTATATTTGTTTTTTATCTTCAGAAGTTTCAATTTTAACAAAAAAAGGTCTGCGTGTCAATAATTATTTTTAAATTGCTTCATTTCTAGCACGGAGATATTGCATTTATGCACAGACATGCTTGCATGCATACGAACTGAAATAAGACCCATGTAGAGTTAAGCATTTATTTAAAAAAAAACAAAAAAAAAACAATGTTTACAAACAACACCATACACCACCGCCACACACTGCCACACACTGCCACACACTGCCACACACTGCCACACACCACCACCGTTACACACTAATACTTTATCATACATACACACACACACATGCTTAGTATACTTCACACCATATCTCTGCGATAGCCTATATTTGCTTCTGATGAACAACACACATACACACATACACACCATATCTCTGCTCTAGCCTATATTTGCCTTATGATGAATGACACACAAACACACCATATCTCTGCTCTACCTTATATTTGCCTTCTGATGAATGACACACACATGCACACATGCACACATACACACCATATCTCTACCCTAGCCCATATTTGCCTTCTGATGAATGACACACACATGCACACACACACACACATACACACCATATCTCTCTGCTCTAGCCTATATTTGCCTTCTGATGAATGACACACACACACACATACACACCATACCTCGGCTCTAGCCTATATTTGTTTTCTAATGAATGACACACATACACACATACACACCATATCTCTGCTCTAGCCTATATTTTCCTTCTGATGAACGACACACACATACACACACATACACACCATATCTCTGCTCTAGCCCATATTTGCCTTCTGATGAATGACACACACACACACATACACACACACATACACACCATATCTCTGCCCTACCTTATATTTACCTTCTGATGAATGACACACACACACATACACACACACATACACACCATATCTCTGCCCTACCTTATATTTACCTTCTGATGAATGACACACATACACACCATATCTCTATTGTAGCCTATATTTGCCTTTTGATGAATGACACACACACACATACACATCATATCTCTATTTTAGCCTATATTTGCCTTTTGATGAATGACACACACACACACACACACACACATACACACCTTATATTTGTCTTCTCATGAAGACATCATTCCCGGACCTCACTTTTCATCGGCCTTGACCCTGTTCCGTATTTGATGATCTGAAACTCGGACACTCAAAAACCTCGCGATAACGGTCCGTCTGATGAATGGACAAATGGGGGGGGGGGGGGAAGGGGGGGGGGAAGGGGGGGGCGGGGAGATGGATCGGAAATCAGAAGAAATTCGATCTCTCTCGATGATTATCTGGTGAGTGGTGCGATAGATTAGCCTCTCTGTCCGTGCAATAGATTAGCCTCTCTTTCCATGCAATAGATTAGCCCGTCTGTCCTCACAATAGATCAGCCCGTCTGTCATTACAATAGATTAGCCAGTCTATCCTCACAATAGAATAGCCAAGTCATCCCAAGCGTGGTATGTTAGCCATTTTGTCTAGCTACTATAGATTAGCCAATCTACCCTGTCCGAATAGACTCCCCAGACTGTCGTAATACAATAGATTGACCAGCCTGTTTTATCCAGTTGAAATAGATTAGCGAGTATACACTGACGCATTAGATTAGCTGCCCTGTCACAATAGAATACCCAGTCTATCATAACATAATCGATTTGTCAGTCGTTCGCGTAGTTGAATAGCCAGACTGTCCTAGTGGAAGAGATTAGCCAGTGACCCTCGTTGAATAGATTACCTAGTGACCCTAGTACTAGGATTAGCCAGTGGCCCTAGTACAATAGATTAGCCAATGTCGCTAGTAGAATAGATAGTCAGTAGCCCTAGTTAAATAGATTAGCCAATGACCCTAGTAAATAGATTAGCCAGTCTACCCTTAGTAGAATAGATTAGCCAGTGGTCCTAGTACAATAGATTAGCCAATGGTCCTAGTAGAATAGATTAGTCAGTATCCCTAGTTGAATAGATTAGCCAATGGCCCTCGTTGAATAGATTACCTAGTGACCCTAGTACAATAGATTAGCCAGACTGACCTGGTTTTCCATCGATCGAGCCTGATCTATGTTCTTTGTTGCGACTATCCCGTGGGGGTCTTTAGGTAAAGAATGAGATGTGTGTTTAACGGGGGGGGGGGGGGGGGGGGGGGGGGTTAACATAGGAAAACAGTATTCAGAAGGTGAATAAGTACATCACACATCTAGTGCCTTAGCACCCGGTCAATTAGCAGATAATGGCTTAGTAACAGGTGGCTTAGCACTCTGTGACATAGCACCCCATGACTTAGCACTCAGGTAACTACAAGTTCCCTTTCGAACATTACGTTTCCTTTTTTTGTAGGCAGGTGAGGTAGAGTTCACCTGTTTCAGTGGCTTCGTCATATGAAATGATAATATGGTCAGCACTATGCCCAGCCGCCTTGATTTTATCTAACGTGGGTCAGGTACCCATCAGAGCTGGGTGGGCTTTTGAGACGTCGTACGGGATCCGAACCCGAGAATTTCGGGTTGGGAGTCTAGCGCTCTACCATTCGACCACACTGTCCTCTTGAGGGAACTAAGCACCCTGTCTATCACCACATTTTATATATATATTTAGTAGCATGTAGCCTAGCACCCTGTGACCTAGCACATAATGACGTAGCACCCGGTACCTTAGCATCCGATAACTTAGCACTCGCTAACTTAGCATCTAATGACTTAGCATCGGGTAACTTAGCACCCTGTGCCCTAGCACCTAATGACTTGGCACCCGGTGCCCTAGCACCTAATGACTTAGCACTCACTAAAGTTGCACCTAATGACTTAGCACCCACTACTTTAGCACCTGCTAACTTAGCACCCGGTGCCCTAGCACCTAATGACTTAGCACCCGGTGCCCTAGCACCTAATGACTTAGCACCCGGTGCCCTAGCACCTAATAACTTAGCACCCGGTGCCCTAGCACCTAATGACTTAGCACCCAGGTGACTTAAGGCTAGATGACAGTACATCCTTTACCAGGTAAATTTACACTCCACACCCATTTACACACTGTTTACCCCACGTGACTTATTACATCCTGCACTGTGTGACCACACACACACACACACACACACACACACAACACTTTAAAAACAACAGCTAATGGCTGGGACCACATCTCACATTAGTTCCAGACACGGCTTCTGGGGTTTAAAAAAATTGAATCATTCGAAATTTTTACTTTGGCGAAACGAAACAACTGGTGTCTGGTTTTTTTAATTACCCGAGAGAGAGTTTACATACATGCGCGCGCTCATTTTCAAATACCATGTGCACATAACCTACACACACACACATACACACAATGGTCGAACGCAGTTTTTATATACAAATTCAATACACAATGGCAGCACACTATTTATACACCATTTCTGCACACTATTTGCACACATTTTTCCTAAACAATTCATAGTCCTCCTTCACTATTTACACACAATTTCTCACACACTATTTACACACAATTCTCACCCACCACAAAAACAGTTTCACACCCTTACACTTAACCTACACCCCTCACCTAGACTACCCACACCTCCCCACTAGACTCTACCTACACCCACACCTTCCTCACCACCACACACATCTATCTTAACGATGCCACTTCCTTGTTGTCTGTTTTTTTATAAATAAATGCTATCGTCAAGGTCAAGGTAAAAATCTTTCAAATGGCAATAAAAGAGATAAAGTTTTCTGAACTCTGTAAATAGCATCCTAGATAATTTATTTCTTTTAAAATGTATTAAATGTATCTAATCAGTATGTTGCGCGTGATTGCGTGTGAGTATATGTGTTGGTGTGTATATGTGTGTATGTGGTGCGTTGGTATGTGTGTGCGTGTGAGTATAAGCCTACGTTGTGTGTGTATTAAAGAGTATAAGTCTACGTTGTGTGTGTATTAAAGAGTATAAGTCTACGTTGTGTGTGTATTAAAGAGTATAAGTCTACGTTGTGTGTGTATTAAAGAGGATAAGTCTACGTTGTGTGTGTAATAAGGAGTATTGGCCTACGTTGTGTGTGTATTAAGGAGTATTG